AGGAGGTTCCTACCAGTAGAAGCGAGTACCTTGGATCGGAGCTCGTGTTCAACCAACTGCCTGAGAGCTGCATCAAGATGACCGAGGGAATTGGAGCTTGCGCCGAGTGCATAGGCTAGACATGATCGATGACGGCAGCGGATACAGCCTCTGCTAGGGGCGGGTCAACGCAGGATCAGCTGCGGTAGCCTGCGTTCGCCGGCAAGAAAATGGCAGCACATTCAGGCCATGGATGGCACGGCGCCCACGCGATGGGGATTGGTTGCCCCGCGTCTCGCCGGCTCTGGAGGTTGCTCACGACGCTGCGGCCAAACGCAACATAAACAAGTTTCAAGCGCTTCCATACAAACATCGAGTTGTAATTAAAGATTTGTATTCAATTGGACAGGGCCATGGAAATGATCGAAATGGCGGGTCACTCAACCTATCACAACGTCCTGATTTCAGCCAATGGCATCGCCGGATTCCATCGCACCACCCGCGACTGCGATCTTGACGGAAGGGCAGCAGAATCCCTTTTGCCCTCGCCTCGGAATGGAGCGCTTCAGCTACTCGCGCAACGGCGGCGTCGACTTGAGCTGCAGCGTGCGCGTCTCGGTGCCCAGCACCATCGACGTCGACGGCAAGACGTACTACAAGGTCGCGATGAAGACGGTCAAGACGTCGCCCGCCAAGTCGTGGGAGGTCGTGCACCGGTACTCGGAGTTCCTCGCCCTCAAGCAAACGCTTCATGCGCACTTGAGCGAGCAAACGGATCTCGGGAAGACGTGCCCGGGCTGCCAGCACTACATGCATGCGCTTGGCCAGTTTGACTTTCCGCGCAAGCACCTCTTCTCGTCCAACTCCGCCATGGTCATCAAGTACCGCCAGATTTCGCTCCAAGCCTTTGTCTCGATGCTGGCATCGCACACGTTCACGACATCGCCGCGGTGCCCCACGTGCAGCGGCCACGCCTTTGAGCTCGTGCGCGACTTCTTCGTCGTGAACGACAATCCCGCAATCCTCGAGAAGCTCCCGACGCCGATCCAAGAGGCCGGCAAGTCCGAGTCGCTGCGGTCAGCGCTCACGGTCGACAACTTCCTCGAAGTCCACCCCGTCGCGCGCGACACGGTCGTCAACAGCGCCGGCGAATTTCTCACATCGCCGGCCAAACCATCCCCCGGCGAGCCATCACCTTCGAAGCAACGCGGGGCGTCCACGCAACCACCGCCAGCGCCCATGCCATCAGCCAAGAGCCCTGCCAAGGAAGGCCACATCCAAACGAGCCAGGTCAAGGTGTCGTCGTCGTCGTTGGTCCCAGACGCGCCCCTCGACGTCGACCGCTACTCGTTCGAGAGCGGCGTGCCCATCGCTTCGAAGCCACCAGTCGTCGTGCGCGAAGAGAGCGCCGACGACGACGACGACTTGTCCTTTGACGGCGTCCGCATCTCGGACCAGGACGACGAGAATGCGATCAACATGGACTTTCTCGCGCCGAAATTGAAGGCCCAGCCCTCGATGCCCTTGACATTTTAGGATCAACGAACGATGCGTCTAACTTACTAACACCAATGCACATCGTTCTACCCTCTATGTAGCCCACACGGGCACGACCACAGACAACAAGTTGCCCGTTTTGGATGATAATCTCTTCTTGCGTTGGTAGAGAGCAGGTCATTGCCTGTGTGGCGTCGAAACAAGCATTTTGCTCTGGGCGCATTAGACTAACCCTGAGACGAACCAAGCTTGGTTACGCCACGTACTAGTGTCGGGGCTCAAAAGCGCCACTTGGTGGGGTGTACATCTGCGTGTCGATGACAGCTTCGATGACTTGTTTGTGTCATCGCGTGTCGCATCTGCTTGAGACTCGACACGGCGCATGTTTCCGAGTACCGGTAGAGAAAACGCAAGCAAAGATGTGGGGTTGATAGTTATAAATTTATGGTAGGCAAGGGTTGATACTGATTGCAGGCGAGAAGCCTGCAAAGGCAAAGATGCTTAAAAGTCGGCGTCGAGCGTGAAGGACTGGTCCTCGGCCGAGACACCGACGCCCGACTTGGAGTACTCGCCGACGCGCTTCTCGAAAAAGTTGGTCTTGCCCTGGAGCGAGATCATGTCCATCCAGTCGAACGGGTTCTTCGCGTTGTAGAGCTTGGTCGCACCGAGCGCGTGGAGGAGGCGGTCGGCGCAGAACTCAATGTACTCGCACATCAAGGCCGAGTTCATGCCGATGAGCTCGACGGGGAGCGACTCGGACACAAACTGCTTCTCAATCATGACCGCGTCACCGACGATCTCGTGGATGCGTTCGTTCGACAGCTTGTTGATGAGCTTCGAGTACATGAGGCACGCAAAGTCGCAGTGCAGGCCTTCGTCGCGCGAAATGAGCTCGTTCGAGAAGCTCAGCCCGGGCATGAGGCCGCGCTTCTTGAGCCAAAAGATCGAGCAGAACGACCCGGAAAAGAAGATACCTTCGATTGCGGCAAACGCGACAATGCGCT